ATATTTCTATTTCCATGCACGTGTCGCTCATGTCAGGGATATGCCATTAATTCTCAGCTTTGTACTGTATATTTGAAAATGTATAAAAAAATCTCTTTCTCAATATGAAATTTGTTTGCTAGCTTCTCAATTCCTAGCATAGCTTGTATATATTAATTCATTGTTAGAAGTTTCCAAAACACAGGATTGGCCTAACCACTTCATAGGTTGGTGCTCATTTTGGAGAGGAAACATTGAATTGCTTATAAACTCAGGCTATTTTCTAAGCGTCTTTGATGTCCAAATCAAGGTACACGAGTTTCTCTTAAGGTATTTAATACTCCCAGTGATTTTTAGATCAACTAGAAAAATTTATTGGACTTAATTTTGATGCTTTCCTGACTTGAACGCATCATGTAACACATATCCATACATCTGAGTTTCAATGAAAATAAAAATTAAAGGTTTCCACTACTCGCATTGTTCTAATAATATATTAAGTCTTTATTCAATGTCTTATCATGACACTAATAGCATTAAAACATAAGGTTTTGATAAATGCCTTGCGCCTATCACATCATAAATAACTTGTTTTCTACATTCCTATACCAAGCTCCAAACGCGTAAATCTCGACCTCACTTGCTTACAATATAAGTAGGTCGTAGTCTTATTAATTAATTAATGAAACATACTACACAACTCTCACATATATAATTTTGGTTGTTAAACTCACCGCTCAACTTATCACACGCTACAACAACAGCTAGCATTTCAACTTTTGTCCTTTATAGGTTGCGGTTCAATAGAATTCTACTCTATTTCTTTCACAGGTGCCATTTCTTAACTACTTCCAGTTGTTTGATCTAGTAAAGTGGAAGAATGAGCGACAGATCATTGATTTGATTACTTTGGACTTTTGGCCTAAACTATTAACCAATTTCCTCCTTCTCTCAGATACAACCCAGAATTGTTTCCAGTCTTAGCTTTCACAATGATGTGAAGCTTTTCTAATCCTTTTTTTCCACGCTACTTTTAAAATCTCCCCTGACTGAATATTACGCTTTGTCGTTTTTTTCACCTTTTTCAGTTTAATAGTTCAGAGCTCAATTTCAGCAAGTTTTTAAGAAAAGTTTCTTTCATTTTTTTGTCCAAATTTCAAACAGATTTTAGGACTCTTTTGGCCTTTTTTGTTTTGACTACATACAGTCCTCTTCAGGACTGTTTTTGATTTTCTTTGTTCAAATTTCATGCACAAACCGTTGTAATCGTTATTAATCCTTTTCTTTTAATTTTATAAAGATAAATTGTAAGGTGCGTTTTCCATCTGATTGCCTTTCTGTTTTGATTTCATTTTCAAAGTAGACTACTTACCTGTTTTTCAAACTTCTATTTGTTGCACAGTCGTCCAGATGGACCTTTCTAATTCTATTTCACGAAGCACTCAGACAGCTTATTTAAGATGCCATAATCTATCCAGCTTACTTCTCATCCTCTTGAGTCCTTTATAGACCCAGAATTCTACTCACTCTATCTCAGATACCTTAAGCCCGTTTCCCATAAAGTAACAAGTTCTTTCATGTTGACCTTCTTCCACACATTGCTTCTTCTTTTGAGATCTCTACTTACTTACGCTACGGTTAATGTGAGTTAACACTTCTCTATCCTATGACTTAGTTACCCATCTCCTGAATTGAACACTTTTTGGTAGATTTCAATAACTAAGTTCCCAATGACCAATCCGAATTTTGTCTTATTTCGTCACCAAATAGTATTTTTATGTATTTCATTGGTCTGTGTTTCTACCAAAAATTATCTCCTTTGAATTTTCTTTTCCGTTCTCTGCGCGAATTTTCCGTCTGTGCTGTATGTTATGGATCTTTCACCATCTCTTAATTATTGCTTATTATTCTGTGTTTCTTGCCATCTTTATTCGTTCATTCTGTCAATCTTCGTTTGTTTTTAATGTTGATTCATCGCTTCTGAATTTTAAAGTTATTTCCCCTCCACGAGTTTGTGGATTGAAGAGGCAGGCACCTCGAGCAATCTGGGCTCGACCTCTTAAAACAGCCATGAAATTATCTACGTAAGCACGTTATACAACAGAATATTAAATTAACTATTGATACTCGATTTAATTAAGGCTTCTTTTTATATTTTGTATTTCAACTGATCTGAACGTTATTTCAAACTTTTCCTTGTATTTTTTCCAACAATTTTCAACACTCACTTCAATTTCTTAATCCGTGTTGTTATACATTATTCTTCTTTATTTAGTTTTTATTTTATTCCTAATCTTTATGGGTGTTATTTCTGACATTTAATAAATTAATCTCAATAATCTATTTTCCTTCATTTTTGTTCCGGGACTATTTAATTTCATTGAAATTACAGAATTTGACTTTTAGACTTTTAGACTTTTGTTTCTGTTCTGAGTTATAGCTCTTGGAGATCTCTCGGAACATCACACCTTCAGATATTGTGCTTACAGTTTTTGGATGAACAGGACATCTTTTTTAGTATATTCTTAATGATTGTATGATGTGTTATGAAACTAGAAGTCTCTTAGGATATATTTTTTTTTTGACACACTTCCAGTGATCGTATTAGGAGTTATAATTCTTGACGTCTCTCAGGTCGTTTGTTTTGGCACACTTCCAGTAACTGTAATATGTTTCGGCTCTTGATGTCTCTCAGGTTGTTTTTGTAGCAAACTTCCAGTGATCTTGTTAGGGGTTATGGCTCTTGAGGTTATCTGTTTCGGCATACTTTCAGTGACTATTTTATGATTTTAACTTTTGAATTACCTCGGATCGACTTTCCAAAACATTTTCCTTGGTCGTGTTATGCCTCAAACTTTCAGGAGTTTCTCCATCACAGTGTAAAACGACAGAAGTAGAACTTTTTAAAAGTTCTTTAGAAATCTGATGAAAGTAATTACTATTGTAGCATTACGCATACTTTACTTCACCCACTTGTCGACTTATTTCTCTCTAATAATGGAGTTATGTTATGGCTGATGTTGATGGTGGTTGAAGACACCCATTCGTCTATTGTCAATCTGAACATTGATCATCAAGTATTATCCATGCTCAGTTTACGTTCTCTTCCCTTCTGATACTTGCTAAACGTATCATAACATTATTATGTCGTCCAATTTAAAAAAAAACTGTAGACCTAATCTGTTTCATACTAGCCAAATGTCATATCGTTCTGAGTTCGATTCGCAGCAAGCACAATGAAAAAAATAACAAAAACACATAAAATAAGACTTACAATTTTTGTTGTTTTATTTCGGCACGAGATCGACCAAGTTTCCTGATAAATCGTTGGTAAGACTTGTGTACTCGACAGTGATAGAACATCACCATAACGACAACGATCAGGAAGATTCCAGTGATTGTCGAGATAGCAATATAAATATTTTGCACGTGCTCCAAGGAAACACTCTCAGTGTGGACCACAAAACCTTTTTGTGGTTGTTCTGTTTTTTCTTGAGTCTGTGGTAGAGGTTTGACTGAGTTTAACAGTTCGGCTACAAGAAACAAACAAGTTTAAAAGAAGTTCAAACATGCTCAATATGTAACTTAAAGAAATTTCACTTTTAGAAACTTATTTTTAGCACATTTTATATGTATATCAAGTTTTTTATATTAAATGATATTTTGAGAACAATAGTATTTTAATTTAATTAGGTGTAAGGGTTTCCTAAACCAAAATGTTATTTCATGTTTGTTTAGTTTTTTTTTAGTTCTTCACTCAACAGGAACCTAAGCATGCCCACCATAAACTGTATGTTTTTCATTATTATTTAAATCAGATGTACATATTTCAATAAATTTACTCATTTACATAATACAGACTGAATAGTTATCGCTTCATTAAAAATTATCTGGTCATTACATTTTTAGACGATTTTGATCACATCATGCACGCAACGAATCCATAAACTTTTAAAACTTGTGTAAATAAATAAATTGGTATATATATATATATATATACATACTAGGATATTTAGATAGCTAAATGCTTATCTCTAATCTGAACTACTGTAAAACAATGAGAAATACACTTATTTATTATTATTCGCTCAGTAGCCATTATAATGCATGCGAAAACATTTATCAACTATAATATATATAATATTAAAACTATAAGAATAAAATATATATGTATAAATTTCGAAATTGATAGATTGAAAATGAGCTTTCTTCTTAAAAAATTCCTCGTTGCGCTTCTGGATCACACACATATACGCGGGAGTCCCAGTTGCCCAACAGCATGTTTGCGGACTTACAACGCTAGAATCTGGGTTTCGATACCCGTGGTGGGCAGAACACAGATAACCCATTGTGTTGCTTTGTGCTTAACGTCCAACAAACAAATAAACACATACACGCACAGATTCACTCAAAGGACAAACCTTCGCAGATATCTCCTGTGTAATCTGGCAAACAGGAACAGAAGAAAGAGTCAACGCTAGGCCAACATGTTCCTCCATTCTCACATGGAGAGGGGTAGCAGGGATCAAAATGTTGTGTACATCCGGCTCCTGTAAAGTTAATTCATACGTTACTTACAATTTAAGCAAGTAACATATTACAGCTTTCCTACAATCACTATGAATGTATGTGGATTTAGAAATAACACTGATTTATTCCCTTCACTGCTGTAGCAGTGTTTATTCCCTGTGCGGATTTTGTGTGTGTGTGTGTAGCAATTTTGTAATAATGTTGCGGTTTTTTAACACGTAGTTTCAAACCCACTAAAACAAGCTGTCCAGTATTTCACGATAGAATCCTCTGTTTTATGAAGTCACATAGTAGCACTCAAATGTCTCTTGAACGAGATTTTTCAACCTAATATTTTAAATTACACAAATTATTCAACCTGATACACACACATGCAGCTCACGCATTACAAACATTCCAGGATATAGAAACATACTTAGGATAAATCCTGGAGCTTCTCCGATAACCGCTGCTTCTCTTTTTCTGGGATGATAGGAAGTGAAATCTACTGTACAGATGAAAGCATAATTGAATCTTATATTTCATTGTTCCATGTTTACCTTGGCTAAACATGGATATACAGCTAAAGAAGTAAAGCAACGAATGTCGGAGAAGCCCCAGAAGTTATTTCTAAACTTCTGTAAAAACACGTTATCCTGCGGTTATGTGGTATAATGTGATCTACACAACATATAATATAGCCACTAGGAAATTTAAGGAATTCCCCTGGGATGAATTATATGTGTAACCAAAATATATCTATCCGTGGATATAGGGAAAGGTTTGTACGTATTATGACGGATTTATTATTATATATTTATTTTAAAATCGATGTTTGCTTATATTAAATTTATATTTAGAAATGTACATAACTTATACTGTTAACTATGTATTGAGAAACTCCCGCCTATTCTCTAGAGTTGTAGAAGATTCTCGAGTGTGAGAATCAACAATATATGTGTGTACGTAAACGCTTGTGTTAGCGTCAGTATTGTTACATAAAACTGAAATTTCGAGAAACTCTCCACACGCCTATAAATATTACCAACGCGACGCGCCAAAAAAGAATATCTATTATTGGTTTGCTGTAGTTGGTGTGCTATAAACTTTGGAAGCTATAACTGTTATAACGTCTATTAATCGGGACACTTCAGATATTTGACCAGGAACATTTATCAATTTCAAACATTACAAATTATTTAACTTCAGTGGATTCACATCGGACATTAGTACTGTTACGAAAACATTACCTAACGTCACCGGTAAGAAAAATCGGCGTGTGATCAGTGAAGACAACAGATCTAGCTAGCTCCCTATTAATTTAATTGTATGAACATCAATTCGAAGTTAACTCGCTCATCGTGAACCCTCGATAAGAAGTTCCAGACTAGAAAGAAGACTTTATGTTGCTTGTAAGTTTGTAAAACTTTTGTATATAAATCTAGAAATAGATTTCGTCTATACATGTTGTAATATCCTATGTTTTAGTCCAATCCATATATCTCACATCAATTCTAGGCTTCACAAATAAAATTAATTAATTAACTACCTAACTTACCAATAAATACGATGTTATAGATTAATAATAACAAATTCAATATAATGAATAGAGTTCTCTTCAAAATATACCAATATACTCTAAATAAAAAATACAACTGTGTTCATAAAAGTATACCAATAAACAAGAACAAAATATACTAGAACTTCCACGGAATGACACGAAAATATAAAATTACTTTCCGGAAGCCAAAAAACATATCTTGCAAAACTGCCATTATATTCCGGATGACAGATATCAGCTTAAGAGAAACGTTTATTAATTTATTTAGTATGAGAAGTACAGATGCTACGTAATATTTACCGTTATATCCGCGATAACATATGCAGCTGTAGTTATTGCCTTTGTCGACACACTGTGCTGGAGTAGGACACGGATTTGTCTGACACAAGTCAACCTTCACTTGGCACCTACGACCTTTGTATCCTGCACCACAGTGACATTTGTATCCTGCAATTAAGTCTTCACAAGAACCACCATTGATGCATGGACTAGAGTCACATTCGTCATATTCAAATTCGCAGTGGTCACCTCCATAACCTTTGAGAGAGAAATATCAGAAATTTACACATACAAAATAAGTCACAAATAATTATAAATTCTGGAAAATAGCTTAACTTTTTTTTATCAGAAGTAATCACATTGATTCGAGGCCTCAGTTATTAATAATCAGTTTAAACATGTGATCTAAAGGGTATACCCAGAGATACAATGAAAGTGTGTGTTTAAATCTAATCGTCGCCTATTTGATTTATTTCAGTTTAAGGACCAGATTCCAACTTTAAAATCGTCGTTAGCAGTTTATAAATTTACTTTCCTTGCTGCCAGTAAGGCTATATTGGTTCTACAACAAAACACGCCAACTTCAGATTACCCAGTACCCACTGAGTCAAGTATACTAGAATGTGCCATCGCCCATAGGAGAACTAGACGTTGACGTTCATTCTAATTTAAGATCATTGCTTTTGATTCACAAGCTGAGACCTGCAATCAACGTGGTTAGTTCTGTAAAAACAGCTAATTTTAAAGCTTTAAGAAGTAGTATTCTGGAAAATAGGATTTCTCTTTCCTATAGTGTGAAATAATCAAACAAAAAAGTGTATAGGCATTTCAGAAATATGAAAAAGAAAAGACAAACGAATAATTCTTCACACCCAGAGTCTTTTTAAATCCTTGCCAATAAGAAATTGTTTGACAATGAGTACATCTCGAACCGACAATTAAGTAGTGTAATAATGTGTTCTACGTTTGGGCAAGTTCTTTTGGATGATTTGGTAAGAGTGATGCCATAGCTAATTCACTTGACGATAACGAATCAGTTTATTTTTTCTATAACGTTTATACAAACTATGTTCACTTGTACTTTATAAACCTAAGTTCACAAACAACGTTGAATTGGAAATTCCTAGACTAATGGTAGCTGTACCTAACTTACAAACAATGTATATTTTCAATGTTATAATTTAGTTATGATGACGCTAGATCTAGAAAGTTCATAAAAATAATCCTAGAATATCTAGAAAGCTCATGATGATGTAATAATCTAGAAATTTATTATAACTCAAAGAAACGACTGTAAATAATAAATACGAGTAATCAATGCATGAAGTTTCAATGCGAGTTCAGTATCAGAAAATTTGTTCAATGACATTTATTACATCCATTTAGTTACTAGAACGATTAGCAAGGAAAATATTTAAGTAAGTTTATTTGTGAGTTAGGCTACTTACCATTAATCAAGGAAATTTCTGATAAATATCATTATTGTATTAGGCCTATTGAAGTTAGTCTCATACGTGAAAGTAGCTATAGTAATAATAATTAAAAGAGAATTATATCAATTTGTCATTGTTACATGAACTGAATCTCGCATTATTTGTACCAAACAATCTAAAATGAACCCACCCAACAATAAAGAGCATTGAAACAATGCTTACAGAATTTGCTTGCTTATTAATCGATTAAATCACAACTCTCACTACCAGCACTGGAAAACGTTTCTTATACTGAACTGAATAACTCATTCATTACTCAATAACTTCGCATTAACTCATTACTTCACTGATTCTCATATTTATAATGTACCCATATTTCAGTGAATTATTCTGAACTTTCTATATGATATAAATCATCATCATTAGCTTCCTCTAGCAAACATCTAAACTAAAATGTCAAAAAATATAGCTTACAACACGAGTATAAAGTGTACGAGTTACAATTATAAATAATTTTCGAAAATTTATTAGTTACAATTATAAGAAGTTTCGAAACAGCACAGGCGTAAGTACAAATAAGGGGATGTGTGAAAAGAATGCCCTAAAAAAGACAAATTAAGAGAAAATTTAAAACCAAATGAGAAGCTTCTTCTTACATCCGTATACAAACACACACACACACAAAATAAATATATAGGTTGACACTGTCACAATTCACGAGAGACAACATTTAGGTATTCATCATTACATGTCTCTTTAGATTATTTCAAATGAAGCTTTATGAAATAATTTTACTCCTTTTAGAGAACCACCAATAGGGGAAGAACATAATAAGAATGAAACAGATAAAGCAACAGACAATGCCTTATTAGGATATGAAAAGTGTCCTCGAGTAGTAGCATAAAGACACTATGAGCTTGATGGATCTCTCTCTCGATTAAACTTTAGATAATATGAATAAACTAGTGAGTGAAAATTCCTTTATTGTTATATCTCAGCGGAAATTCCAAAAGAACGAACTTTGCTACATCAGTGTGTGGAAAATAAACCATTTTAGACAAGCAAGGAATATTCTTCAATAACATGTATTATATTTCACGTCACAGTCTTGCCTATTTATCATTACGTCTTTGAGATTTTAATGCATGGTGGGAATGCGATATGAATGAATAAACTCCGAAGAAAATATTTTGAGAGGCTGTACTTTAAGAATGAGTATAAACTCGTCTGTCTGGTGTTAGTTTGCGAGGCTGTACTTTAAGAATTAGTGTAAACTCGTCTGTCTGGTGTTAGTTTGAGAGGCTGTACTTAAAGAATTAGTATATACTCGTCTGGCTGGTGTTAATTTGAGAGGCTGTACTTAAAGAATTAGTATAAACTCGTCTGTCTGGTGTTAGTTTGAGAGGCTGTACTTAAAGAATTAGTATAAACTCGTCTGTCTGGTGTTAGTTTGAGAGGCTGTACTTTAAGAATGAGTATAAACTCGTCTGTCTGGTGTTAGTTTGAGAGGCTGTACTTTAAGAATGAGTATAAACTCGTCTGTCTGGTGTTAGTTTGAGAGACTGTACTTAAAGAATTAGTATATACTCGTCTGTCAGGTGTTAGTTTGAGAGGCTGTACTTTAAGAACGAGTATAAACTCGTTTCTCTGGTGTTAGTTTAAATACACTTTGTCTAACTTTAGTTCAAGTGAACTTCAATAAAAACAACAATTTTGCGTTTCTAGAACATATTGCACACTCACACACCACATCGTTTCGATTCAACAGTTCATATTTTATTATCATTTACAGTCATTAGTCCCAATGTAACTGATAATTAAACAGTAAAAAAAATAGATTAAAATTTAGAATGTCTATTACACAATTTCTCCGTTATATGTTTATTAGTAAGCTTGTTTGTTTGTTATTAATTTCTCGCAAAGCTACATGAGGGCTATTTGCGCTACCCGTCCGTAATCTAGCAGTGCAAAACCAGAGGGAAAGCAGCTAGTCATCACTACCCACCGCCAACTCTTTGGCTACTCTTTTCCCAACGAATAGTGGGATTAATCATCACATTATAACGCCCCATGGCTGAAAGGGCGAGCATATTTGTTGGGACGGGGATTCAAACCTGCGACCCGCAGATTGTGAGTCGATCGCCCTAACCACCTGGCCATGAGCTTATTTGTTGTTAAGCACAAAGCTACACAATACGCCGTCTGCGCTCTTCCAACCGCAGGTATTGAAACCCGATTTTTAACGTCATAACTTCTCAGACTTACCGCTGAGAGCTTAATGGCATAGCGTTAAGTCTACAGATTTATAACACTAGAAATCAGGTTTCGATACTCGTGGTAGGCACAGCACAGATAGCCCATGGCGTAGCTTTGTGCTTAACTACAAATAAAACAATTTACCACTGAGCTACCATTGAGTAGTTAATAGTAAAGCAAAATTTTGACTAATATTTTTTCAAAACATTCTTAAATTTGCATAAAACTTTCAACTGTGAAAAAGAGTAATAGTAAACTTATCAAAAAATCCAAGCTATCATTTTAAGTTTTCCAATAAAAATACTTTTCTTATTCTAGATATTGTTTCAGGAGCTGTATAGTTTTTGTTTTAGAATTTTTGCACAAAGCTACACAAAACGCACATTGCCATCACTAATTTTGAACTGTTATCCTTGAGGCTAACATAGTTTGATGACGAGAAACCCACTTTTTAGAAAATAAAAGTTTGGAGACGGCTTGAATGGTTACTGGAGAAAACTTTGTTATAAATGTACAACGTTTCGAAAAGATGATGACAAAACATTTTCATTAGTATTGATGTACATTTTTGAAGCGATTAAGTAAAAACCGTGATGACAAAGTGTTTTAGGACATGTTCCATCACCATAAGCTTTATCAGTTGAACCCTAGAACTGAATTTGTCTGAGATCTAATACAGTCTTGGCCAAAATGTTTGCATATTTTGTAACAAATAAGATCAATATTATTAAGATGGAATATGTATATATATATATATCCACACTTAGAAATGTGTGTTATGTTAAACATATACATATGTAATTTGTATAATGAGACAGGTTCTATGGACTTCATGAACGATTTATTAGAACAGCAAACAATTTTATGAGAAATCTGTAGAAAGATGTGTGAGTCAGCGTTTCACCTATAACAACAAAACCTATGCAATGACAAAATATAACATCAAATTATTATAAATAGCGTCTGTAACCTTTATCAGTACATAATAAACAATCAGTACTTGGTTGGTTCTCCTCGTACTCTGATAACCTCCACAAGGCGACGTGACATGATTTCATTCACATTTTTCATTAGAAGGCGCTGGAACTCAGCTATAGTAGCTGGTTTAGAGTTTTGGTTAGTAATGTTCCAGCTCAGTTCTGCCAAACAGTTCTCAATGGGATTATAGTCTGAAGATTTTGCTGGCCATGGCAATCTTGTAACGTCCTCCTGGTTGAGATAATCCTGTACAATACGCGCATTGTGGGATGTAGCATTGTCATCCTGGAACACAAAACATCATCTCTGTAGAAGACGCCGTTGAAGACCAGTTTTTCCACCATTATGAATATCCGCCCAAACATGTTCTGCACCATCTTCTGTGTGTTCCCTATGGGAAATACAGTCTTCCCTCATCTGTTCTTCAGGAAAACGACGAACACAAATCCTACCATCAGCTTTAACAAGCTCCAAACAGGACTCATCTGAATAGATAACATGTCGCCAGTGTTTTAGCTCTAAGTTGGCATGCTATCTTGCCCAAGTAACACGGTGATGGCAGTGAATTCTGGTTAATATGGGTTTGCAGATAAACCTTCTTATAAAATAACCATGTTTGTTCAGTCTCTTGTTCACTGTTTTTCTGGATACCCTAGAACTAATGTGTTCATGCCATTCCTGTCGTAAGGTTTTGCAAGACTTCTTTCGATCTTGATGTGTTAACCTTATCAAAACACGGTCATCTCATGCAGTAGTCTTTTAGTGTCTACCAGTATACTTTCCTGGAACAACGTTTCCTCTAGTCCGGTGACGTTTCAGGATTCTGGATACAGTAAACTGGGGGTACCCTACTGTTCTGGCAATGTTCGTTTGCTTCATACCATTTCTGGACAGTCGATCGTAATTTGACGTCCTATAACTTCTGGCACGTGACGAGGCATGACTCTACACCAAGTATAGAGATGTCTCTGAACAAAGCGTTGATCTGTTTCGAAAATGATTATACCAAAAGCACATCATTTCATACAAAACAGGTGTGTATGTGTGTTTTGACGAACAAAGGCTTAAACAACTTATACAGACCAGAATAACAACTCGTACATGTTTGTCCATCATACTCTACCTTCTCTGTTACTACTCGGGTATTTACTCAATAAATACTTCATGCATGTAGACAATGATATCAATATAGAACAGTATGCAAACATTTTGGCCAAGACTGTATTATTGTGTTAAGTTATTAATTAAATGTTTAATCGTAGCAATTATTTGTGTACATATTATTAATTAACTGATTAATAAATTATTAGTAAATAATTTGTGTTATTAACTTTTTAAATATCTATTTGAAATATATCCATTGAATCTAGATACCAAATGGCTTATATAACTTTAAGACTCCATTTTACCCTAATATTACTCATGATACGTTAAAAAGAGTTAAAACGGTAACCTTTGGTTGTGGACAACTTTGAACTGCGACAGTAAGACTTTCCATGAGTAATAAAATTCGGCTGGGACCTGTTTATGCTAATCAGATAAGCTATTTTGTTATGAATTGCTCTACCATCAGAGGGCTTTGTGAGATGAGTCCTGGTAATGAGGATACAACTTAATAAGTTATTAATTACGTATTGCAAATCAACAATAATTCCTGACAGTTCGAGAGGACTTTCTTAGGCGTGAATTATTCTATCACGAGAGGGATTATAGGTATGGAAGGTATTGAGGTCAGAAATCAAGGTCAAAGGCTAAGCGGACCTACTCTAGCAGGTGTGTTTATTTACTCATTTCGTGGATGAAATGTTGCTCAGGGTGTGATTTTAGAGCACATTATTTTTCTAAGAGCTCTAGCGTGTAAATTTCCCTTCTGTCATGGAGAATATTGATGGCTCTCGTTTTCAAAATGTGTTATTTGGCTCTATATCGCTTGACAATCTTGCTATGTGAATATCCTTTCCCGGGAAAGTCTGTGACATATATCTCCAGCCATAAAACTCTTCGTGGTTCGTTAGCACAAGCAGATTATTTTCATAACGTGTGTTTTATAATTTACTTTTGATGTGTAGTAAAGTAAGGACATATTTATGACACATTTTACCGCACTGTGCCGCTAGATTATCTTATAGAGTAAAATTGGTTAATTTATTGCTGAAAACGAGTGTTAGCTGATTGGTATGTTCACTATGTAAAGAACTCTGGTTAAAACTTTAAGGAATTTAAACTTATTTACTTTCTGCTTTATCGTTTGTGCGTTCTAAATGTAATGTTTTTACGCCTGCTTGTTTGAACAAATAAAGAGCTTATTTTAATATGCTGATCAAAATAGAATACATTTGAAAGTATGTGTTTGTTTAATTGGTGAAAACTACATTATCTGATGAAGTTATCTATACGGTGCAAACATAAGATAAGTAGAATCATGGGTGAAATTCTGCCGGTACACCCCGGTACTGAGTACAGGAACTTATTTTTTAAGGCGGTATTAGTACCGGGACTTATTTGAGCTGCTTTTTCGTATTTTATGTTTACATATAGGTTTTCTTTTCTTTTTCAAAAACAGGTCCACTTCACCCAGCTGAGTACCTCTACTTTTTTTTTTTTTTTGAGAATTTCACCCCTGAGTAGAATCAACCCACTTTCATGAGGTTTGTTTGTTGTGAATTTCCCGCAAAGCTACACGAAGGCTATCTGCGCTAGTCGTCCGAAATTTAGCAGTGAAAGACTAGAGGGAAAGCAGCTAGTCATCACCATCCACCGCCAATTCCTGGCCTACTCTTTTACCAACGAATAGTGGAATTGACCGTCACAGTATAACGCCTCCACGGCTGAAAGAACAAGCATGTTTGGTGGGATGAGGATTCGAACCCTGGACCCTCAGATTCTGAGTCGAATGCCCTAACCACCTGGCCATGCCGGACTCTTTCATGGGGTTTCGTGCTTTTCAGTACAAATACTTGAAGAAAACAGAACAATGATCTGTTGAAATATTTACTATGTTCTCTACGTAAAATTATATTCGTTATTCTTCCAAACCGTTGAAATAATTAACTTCATATTAAGTTCAAACAGTTGCTTTCATATATATTGTTGTAACATTGAAAACAATTTGTGGTTTATCTATTCATTCTTACGCACTGAACGCACAATGGTTTTTTTTTACGAGAGTTTGCCCCCCCAGTAGCACAGCGGTATGTCTGC